CAACTACTACCCCCTTCTTCTCAATAGGATGTTCTGCAAAGCAGAACCTCCAGACAATAGGCTCCCACCCAACCTGAAGTAGGGTCAGATGTGATGGAAGTGGTAATTATGTATTCAGCGTTGGAAATGAGCTGTCCTGATTAATAACTTCAAACTTGAGTGACCCACTACATCGAGGTCCAGACTTGGGCACCTTGCTATCTACTATTTCCCCTGATTCCACATGTGTACCATCTGCTCCTTTTCTAATAGTTGCTCTGGGAACTATCGTCAAAACAATATTACCCTTTGCTATGGAAAGTTTGTGACAATCAATTGCCTTCTGGCTCACTCACAATCCCAAAGGTAGCACCTTTCTCTTCTATATTAGTATCGGTAGTACTTAGCAAAGTGAATGGAACATAGAGTAGGCATTTAGTAAAATTCAAAGTCTTTAGATGAGACTAAGAACCATTGAGACTAAATCCCAAGATAAAGTGAATGGAAGACAATGTCTTAAGAGGAGAAGGGAATAAGCATTTATTAATAGAGTACTACAGGCCAGATTCTGTGCTAGGAGCTTCACTGGCATTATCTCATTTGACCCACACAACAACTCTGTGAAGAAGGGGAAGGGAAATTTAACTAAATCCAAGTAAAGTCCCATAAAAAGAAACTGAGAAGACATACCTTTGAAGTAAGTCGCCTTCTGCAAGTTCTTCTGTAGGTCTCTCTTTACCTACAAAATAAGCAATATTTTTTAAAGTTACTATTATAGAAAAACATATAGCTTCTACTGAGGGACATACATACAAAACAAAAAGTCTTTTCACAAATTATCAGTCCTCACCAGATGTTAAGCACAACCTGGTCTAGATGTTCTAAGTTAAAAAGTCAGAAAAGGAAAAACATACTTAAGGCCATGAGAAACATACTAGCTTTCTCTTGGAAAGAATAGGGATACGACTATTATTGTGACAGGCTAACTCACCAGGCCTCCTAAATACCTATTCTTAGGATAACATCTGACATATCGGTTTGTAAGCAAGTTTGATGGAGGGGACCTGTAAGTTGTTCAAGTTTTAATTATGAACATCCGCAGAATCAGCAACAGCAAGAGGTGAACAGGATAAAAAATAAAGGAACCACTTGTAAAGAGCTGATATCAAAGACTCCCACAGACATTCAAATACTTCATATCCTAGCCTTAAACTTGTCTTTAGTTAGAGAAATTCTATTTGGGGATGCATAAATCCCTTTAAAATGTAAAGATGATGTTGTAAAAAAGTACAACGTCAGAACAGATTATACCCAGGTTCATAATAAAAAGGCGGCCAAGATCCTTGCAATTACAAACTTCGAGTAGGAAAATGACAGTTAAGTGATGCGTTATGTCCTATAATCAATCAGCAAACAAGCATTTAGTTATGTATCAGGTACTGTTGCTAGGTGCTAGAGATGAAAGGTCATAAATAAAGCAATCCTTATATACTATCGAGAGAAGCAAGAACACATAAAAGCATACACACAAGATACCCAAGGGGATTATGTCTAGAAGAAGAGAGACCTACAAGGCTGGGTCCCAACTATCAGGCCCTCCTTTATCACTCCTTGATGAGACCTGCCTTACAAAAATGTCTGGAAAGGAGCATCAAAGGATGCTTTCATTATTGGGTCCTTGGGAATAAGTTTGAGATGAGTCAGAAAGGCGATCTGCAGAATGCAGTCTTGCTGCTGTTGTTCAGTCATTTCAGCAACCCCATTTGGGGTTTTCTTGACAGAGATACTGGAGTGGTTTGCCATTTTCTTCTCCAGCTCATTTTACAGATGAGGAAACTGAGGCAGACAGAGGTTAAGTGACTCGCCCAGGGTCACACAACTAGTAAGTGTCTGAGACCAGATTTTAACTCAGGAAGATGGCCAAATTCAAGTATAGCATTCAACTGAAGGGGTAGAGGTACATAAAAGGTGATAAGGATTTACTGTAATTCTTGGCTTCAATCTAACACTTTGTTCTGCTCTTCACATCTTTTGTGGATTACAAAGGAAGCAATATTCCAGAAATCCTTGTCTTAGGGATTTAAAAGCTATATGGAGGTGGGGAGGAGTCTTCAAGCTAACCAAGCCAATTGTTTTCCTGCTCTTTCAAATATGCCCTTTGAGGCTTCTGGAAATTTAAGACAATTCTAGCTTATGACTGACGCCCTCAATTTAGTTTGCCTACATCTACTTTTGTTTTTTTGGCAATTGGGGTTAAGTGACTTACCCAGGGTCACATAGCTAGTAAGTGTTAAGTGTTTGGTCTGAGACCGGATTTGAGCTTAGGTCCTCCTGACTTCAGGGCCGGTGCTCTATCCACTGCGCCATTTAGCTGCCCCCCTACACCTACCCTTGGGCAGTTAGGTGGCACAGTAGATAAAGCACCAGGCCTGGAGTGAGGAAAACTCATCTAGCTGGTTCAAATCTGGCCTCAGACACTTCCTGTCTTTGTGACTCTGCGAAAGTTATTTAAGTCCCGTCTACCTCAGTTTCCTCATCTGGCAAATGAGCAGGAGAAGGAAATGGCAAACCATTTCAGTATCTGTGCCAAGAAAACCCCTAAATGGGGTCACGAAGAGTCAGACACAACTGAACAACATTTATGATTTTCCTGGTCTGATCCCTCCTGTATATTGCAAATAAGTCTTCCTAAAATATTGTTTTCATCATGCAATCCCCAACCCCCAAACCACACTTGAAAATAATCTTTGTCTCTCCATCTTCAATCTGGTATTCAAGGCTCTCCATAACCTGGTCCTGTGTGATCCATCTCCCAAACCTGAGCCCTCCACTGAAGACAAAACAATTTTTCCACTGTTTCCAACAAGATGCTATTTCCATGAATTCCCTTCCTCCTCCCTATGCTTATACAAATCTTATAGCTCTTTCAAGCCTTAAAAAAACAAACTTATCTTTAAAAAGAAAAACCTTACCTTTTGCAGCCCATAATGATTTTCCCATTCTCTCTGGCATTGAAAATTATTAGTCTATTACACTCATTTTAACCCTCAGTCCTTCAGATGCTACCTTGTAATATAAGACATCTCGAGGTGAAATACAAAACAACTTCATTGCTTTAGGCGTATATCTTGTTTGTATAACTAGATTAATAAGGCTTACTAGAGAGGGCTTTAAAGGTGTGACTGACCCAAGACTCTCGTTTTACAGCTGAGAAAATTGAAGCCAAGAGAAATGATGCAACTTGCCTGAGATCACATCAAAAAACAATGGCAACTAAGATTTAAACACAGTTCTGACTCAAATTTAGTACCTCTTCTACTGTACCACACTCTCAGAGTTCTTGAAGGCCAAGGACCAAGTCTAAATTTTATTTTGTAGCACTGCTAGGCACTGAAAAGATATGCACAAAGTGGGCAATGAATATTTGGACAAGCATAATTTTCTGTAAAGTAGATTCCTTTCCCCTGAACAATTTACTGGGGTAAAGGTGTCACAGTGGATAAGAGGGCCAGGCCTGGGGTCAGGAAGACTCATCTTGTTGACTTCAAATCTGGCCTCAGACACTTACTAGCTGTGTGACCCTAGGCAAATCACTTAACCCTGTTTTTCTCAGTTTCCTCATCTGTAAAATGAGCTGGAGAAGGAAATGGCAAACCACTCCAGGATCTTTGCCAAGAAAACCCCAAATGGGATCACAAAGAATTAGACAATACTGAACAACAACAAAAACAATTTGTCAGTTTTCTATTATTCTCTCTACAATCAAAGCTGATGATAACAAAAGCTAAATGAAGACTTACTTGCTTCAACCTCTGCCTTATATTCCAGTAGCTGTTGTTTAATCTGATCCTTTATTCTATAAAGGGAAGCTCAAAGTTAGAACAAGGTAGTGATTTTCATAGGAATACTATAGTATTATATACTCTATATAATATTGCCATATATTTCCATAGGAATACTGCTTGCTCAAACAGTCTGCCCAGTTTTTGAGGATAGAAATAAACGCTTCCAAATTTTCCACAGGTCAAGAGGAAAAGAACAAAAATACAATATGTGGAAATGTACAAGGAACTAAGCTTTTTGATTTACCCAACAAGAAAAAAAAACAAAAACTGGTCAATGGCTACTTAAGGTCAAGAACAATGTTTTCAGAGGAAGGATCGTGACCTGTTGCTCTGTGTCTCCGAAGAAATAGGTCACAGTTCGGGGCAGCTATTGAACCATTAGAAAGAACAACCAAGAGAATGATTAATCCCCTCCTTTACACGTATTTAAAAGTATAATCGCCACACAAGGGGATTGTTTCAATGCTTCTAACTAATTCAAAGAACACTAGGAAAAACAGGAAAAATTATGCAAATAATGGTAAACAATCAGCATGCAGTTTTATGAAGCATTCAGATGAGCATGGTACCAATTTTAATACAGTGCTTCATTTTGGCAAGGCTATCACTCCTTTGCTTAACCATTAAAAAGTCCTGGAGTTAAGTTGTCTGGGGCAACATTACAGATTTTTTAAATGCTGCTTGAACAAGTCTGAATATTAGCCCAATGTCTCTTGGGGATGAGGCTCTCAAAATAAAACCCTTTTTAAGATAAAAGGAAAATTCAGACAGGGAAAACAACCAAATATTCTCAATTAGCAGTAGGAACCAGCCACATAATTTCAATTCTTCCAAAAGCAGGGATTAACTGTTTATAGTATTCCTTAGGTTCTCAATAAATTGCTTTAAAAGGTGGAGTGACCTCTCCAGTAGTCAAACATAGCTTACCCAAGAAAAACCTATTTGCCTAAAAACAGCTTACTTATCTAAGAAAAGCTGCAGCAACAGGCAAAAAGGGTGGAACATTAAGATTTATTAAAGACCCCATCTCCAAAAGAGTCTACCCTGCCTAAATCCTGAATTTCGGCCACTAAATTATCGCAAATGAACAAGAAACACCCTTCTCGTCCAGATTAGAAAAGAAAACAGTACACTAGTGAAAACATGAAGCTTGAAAGAAAGGGTTAACTCCTCCACTTGGGGAGGGCATGGCCGGGAATGCCTGTTAGCCTGGGCAGGGCTATTTCCTAGTTCTTGACAGCTCCGCATATATCACTACCCTTCTTGGGGCCTCAGTTTCCCCGTCTGTAGAATAAGGATTTGGATTCTCTAATAGAGATCTACTACCAACTGCTACAGTCTTAGAACTAGGGGTGGGGCTAAACTGGGTAGGGGAAAGGGTAAGAACCTGAGCAGCTGCCGGACCATATTGCAGTCTTCATCCTCCTCCCTCCTCTCTTCTTCTCTACTCTCTTTCCTATAAGAGGCAGCTGGAGGGGACTCATCTCTGCTACTGCTGCCGGGCATGGCTCGCTGGGCGCTGGTGTCCAGGGCATAGTTTCCAGCATCCCCGCTTGGGGTGGGCGCTGGCCGCAGTGACCTCCGCACCAGCTCTTCCTCTCCCCACGCCTCCGCGCCCAGGTTGCCGGACATGCCAGCCCGCACTTCGTCTCTGGTAGCGACTCTGGTGCGTGGCGTGGCCTCGTCCTCCCCTCCAAGTGCATACTTGACTGGGGCCGACGCCACGCGCCTCCAGGACCTGGTGCCCAGTGCACGCTTCTCCTCCTCCCGCACTTTCACGTCCCCGCCGGTGCTGCTCCTGGCACGCCGGGACCTGGCGCCGGGCTCCCGCGCCGCCTCCCTCTCCCCCCGTGCCTTCCTGCCCGTGCTGCTTTGGGCGCTCCCAGGGATAGCGCCCTGAACTTTTGCGTCCCCGCTAGTGCCGCGCATGGGACGCAGGGACCTGGTGCTCCACACCTCCTCCTCTTCGTCACGGGTGTACTTGCTTAACCTATGTTTGGCGCCTGGGGAACGGGTCCTCCGGCCCTCCGCCTCGTCCTCCTCCTGCGCGTTCTGACCGAGGGTGTTGCGCTTGGCCAGCACATCCTCCTGGACCTCCTGGGCTTTCTTGCCGGTGCTGCGCTCTGGCCGCCCAGGCCTGGAACTCCGCACTTCCTCGTCCTCTCCTCGCGCGTTCCTGCGGCCACTGCTCCGGGCACGCCG